TATATATATATATATATATATATATATATATATCGGAGATTCAAAGAACAAAGAAAAAAATAAAACAGACTATCTGAAAATTAATCCTAACTAAACCACATACAACTTATACACATAAAACTACATAAGACAGCTATTAAAGCTAATTATGGTGCATCGTTCAATTATGGTTGTATCCTTCACCGACGATACCACACTATTTTATTCAAATCTAAACTTGGATGCCCTATACAATACTGTATATAACGAATTGCCCAAATTTGATGAGTGGTTCATCTCGAATAAGTTGTACTCCACAAAGGCCTAATTTAAATTTAAATAAGCACAATATCTCTTTTTTTGTGTTACATTGAGTGGAAGAGTGAGGAGCTTTTTTTTGGGTGTGTTTATACAAGAGAACTTGAAATGGACCATTCATCATAACTATATTTCCAACAAAATTTCGAAGTCAATCAGTATCATATGTAAGCTTAATTTATTTTCCCCATCAATATTAATCTCGCTTTGCAATACCTTAATTCTTCCCTACCTTCAGTATTGTAATTTAATTTGGGCGTCCGACTACCGTAAAAATCCAGAAGTGCTTCATATACTGCAGAAATGTCCTGCCAGAATAACTACTCATTCTCATTATAGAGGATCATCTGAACCTCTTTTTAAACAACTCAAAATACACAGTATTTTACAATCTTCATAAAACTGAAATAGCAAATTTCATGTATAGGTATATACATAAGAAACTTCCATTACAAATGTCTGTTTTGTTGAATTATTATGAGAATAGTAAGCCAAAATGCTACAATTTAAGAAATCCCCGGGATATACCTTCTTGTCGACTTAACTGTAGTCAAATATTTATTACTGCTGCAGGCCCTAAGTTATGGAATGAACTTCCTTATACTATTAAACAATTTGTAAGTTTACCTGTATTTAAAAAAAAAACAACTTGAAAATACCTTATTTAAACCTGTACACAAATTAAAACTCTACATTACTATCATCATTATTACATAATTATTATTATGATTATGATTTGATTAAGATTAATATGAATATTATTATGATTGTTATTATTATATTATTATTATTATTATTATTATTATTATTATTATTTTTATTATTATTATTATTATTATTATTATAGGCCTACTATAGAATATACGAAAACAATGATATAATAATGCATTGTACTGCCTATTGGAGAAGACTGACTTCTAAAGTACACTTTCTGTTTCACAGGCTACATGCACCATTACTTATCAGGCCAAATATCAGGTAGGATGGTATGCTGTGGCACTGATGATTGAGGATTTTGCAAGTCCATTGTCTACTTCACCGTTGAGTCAAATACCTCTTCAATTTTTAGTAGAAGTTTACAACAATGCTATGCCTTGTAGTAGTGCACCATACTTCATTGACCCAACACCGAAAGATGGGGCATGTATCGCAGTTCCAGAAAATGAGACTTATTTTCAAACAATTGTTGCGGACAGCGGAATGGAGGGATCGGGGTTAGTAATCAGCAATTTTTATCATGTTCATATTATATTTTTCATGTTGACGTGCAGGCAAAGTATAGTTACAGTAACTGTAACTACAAACATTATTTATATGTACGTGTGATTGGTTTACCTAAACCAAATTCTACAAATTTTCATGACGTTAAAATTACATTAGGCCTATATTATTTTTTTTTAGATTTTAAAATATTAAGATATATTTTTACAGAATTTCTATAAGAACACTTTTAAAGCACAATGCAATGAGATTATTAGATATATAACTGATGAAATTATGTTATTACCAGTAACTTGTTTTTGCTTGTTACATCTAGGATATCTGACATTGTAACCGTCTCGCCGTTTGGATTTTCAAAATCAGAAGTTGTTCAAGTGCAAAGTGATAATCGATTGTTTTATGTAAATCTAACATGGACACCTACTAAGCAACAAGAAGGCGAGAATATACTTTGCTTTACTGCTGAAAACACAGAAGGGTAAGAGAAAGTTTTGTAAACAATATTTACAAGGAAAATAAGTCATTGGAAAAACAGCAACATTTAAGACTGTGGATATTTAATAAAGACGAGACCGCGGTAACAATAATCGTAAACATGGAATTAAAGATTATATTTTAGTAATTTGTATTATAGTGTTTTTTTAGTTTGGTGGAAAAAGTTTTCCTGGAAACGGAGTTAACGATTGAGTCGGGAAAAGTATTAAAAAGTTTGGATCAAGAATATGTAATGTTATTTAGGAAATAACACACTTGAGCACCTTTGAGTCATGCATCGGCGGGCTTTAAGCCTTAAATTGCCGATAAACGATGCAGTGTTGGTTTGGTTCGTTTAGGCGTTTTCTTTTTTCTTTGTTAGTCTAGGTTCATGGTTTTTTTTTCTCTTGTCCGTTTCCTTCCGTTGTTGTGAAGCGCCTCGAGGTTGGTCCAACGGGAGGCGCTATACAAATCGCAAATTATTATTTTTATTAAATAACTTGTTCTGTTGGTGGGGATATAAATTTGAGACATAGCCCTTGTACTCTAGTTACATAGAAAAAAATTAGGTCTGAAAATATTGCAAAATATATTTGGAAGAATTGATGCAATGGATGAGTACAAAAATGTACACTATTGAAGAGAATGATCATTAATATCAGGCAATTTAAGGCTTAAATTACAAAATAAAGGAAAAGAGTGAGAAAGTGGATGACAGCCAGATATAATCCTAATAATCTTTTTTGCATTATTTTGAGTTAAAAAAAATTAGATAGGTAGGTATTGTACCACACAATGTTGCAGTAGCTCAAATAAGGAAGGATTAAAGAGCAATACAGAATACGAATGACATCAAGAAGAAAACGAAGAATTTATGCCGAGGCTTTTAGAGCATTCGTTTTAAATTTCAATAATATGTTTTTCAATGTCAATCCACTATAAAAATACACACAAAAACTTGGCATTTTAAACACAGAGTAATTCATTATCAATAAATATTTTATTTCAAGAAGTATCAATAATTTAGTTTAGTAGCTTCATTATCCCAAACAGAATGCAGCTATATTTTTTTATGGTTAACTGTTAATTTATTAGCAGAACATTACTGAGATTGGACTGAATGTAGAAATTGAATAAAATTTATTTGGTTCACTAACTCCATTAGATAGTAACTTTTTAAAATATTTAAGGCAGGTCCACGAATCCCATAATGAAATGATCAATCGTATCGAAGGTCTTGGAGAGATCAATAAAAATTCCAGCAGCTAGACAGTTATTTTCAAAGGTATCTACAATTTTATTAGCGAGATCTATTAGAACCATAGAGGTGCTATAGTCCAAATTACTAATTGATGTTGAATTTATTTGTAAATTTTAATGTTCTATTATAAATTATTCTCTCAAAAAAATCGGAGACAGATAAGATTGAGATAGCACGATAATTAAATGGTTCTGTAATCTGTGAATTAATAATTCAAATCAAATATTGTAAGCTAGATTTAGGAAAACAAATGTATAATAGAACTAATGAAGTTTTAAGAAGCATTACAATAATAAATTCAACTGTAGATTTTTAAGATATGGTAAATTAATTCAAAACAAAAATATTTGGTTCACTAACTCTATTTGATAGTAACTTTTAACAATATTTAAGGCAGTTCCACGAATCCCATAATGAAATAGTTTGGATAAAAGCATTTTATGATCAATCGTATCGAAGGTCTTGGAGAGATCAACAAAAATTCCAGCAGCTAGACAGTTATTTTCAAAGGCATCTACAATTTTATTAGCGAGATCTATTAGAGCCATAGAGGTGCTATAGTCCAAACTACTAATTGATGTTGAATTTATTCGTAAATTTTAATGTTCTATTATAAATTATTCTCTCAAAAAAATCGGAGACAGATAAGATTGAGATAGCACGATAATTAAATGGTTCTGTAATCTGTGAATTAATAATTCAAATCAAATACTGTAAACTAGATTTAGGAAAACGAATGTATAATAGAACATATTGCATTATAGATGATTGTGTAACCACAATGTTGCTTATAAAAAATGTTTTTTTCCCTTTGTGATGAATAAAGGTGGGATGACCCCACAAAAGATAAAAAAAAAAATTCCAGCAGCTAGACAGTTATTTTCAAAGGCATCTACAATTTTATTAGCGAGATCTATTAGAGCCATAGGGGTGCTATAGTCCAAACTACTAATTGATGTTGAATTTATTCGTAAATTTTAATGTTCTATTATAAATTATTCTCTCCACAAAAATCGGAGACAGATAAGATTGAGATAGCACGATAATTAAATGGTTCTGTAATCTGTGAATTAATAATTCAAATCAAATACTGTAAACTAGATTTAGGAAAACGAATGTATAATAGAACTAATGAAGTTTTAAGAAGCATTACAATAATAAATTCAACTGTAGATTTTTACATTTCCTTATCATGAATATACATTAAAACAGAAAAACAGGTCCAATATTATTTAAAGCAACCGATTAAATAAATAGTAATGAAATGTCCGTTAACTAACTGCGTTTTTTTTCCCTCAAATATTGTTTACCTTTATTAATATTTCAATGATTTGGCATATAAAATAAAATAAATATAATGTACATAAATAAGGTAAGCTTTACAATTTGTGGTATTAAACATATATTGTATTAAATTTATGCCGTTCGCTGTGTATATTTTAATCACTTGATTCTTTTTATATTTCAGAGTAACGGGTCCTCAAACTTGCATAAAGCTGGTTGTTGGTGGTGCGTTAAAAAATATTTAACTATGTAGCATATCCACAAGAATAATATACACTATATATGTATGTATATATATATATATATATGAAAATATACATATACACACACACACACACACACACACACACACACACATATATATATATATATATATATATATATATATATATATGCGCTCAGTGTTGAAGAATGTAAACGAAGTGATGATTCGTTGTCGTGTCGTTCGTGTTTGGTGTAAATGTAGCTTTGTTGGAGCATAGTTATTATTATTTATTTAGAATGTTATTATTATTTATTTATATTGTGTTTAACGTGCTACGCAGCAAAAACCTAATTATATATATTGTGAAAAAAAACGGTATATAATATTGTATGTGTGTGGTCAGTGTATATGTTTCTATCGGGGGCGCAGTGGACGGAAATTATTAGGGTTTAGTTTCTTAGAGGGTCTGGCTGGTTCAATGTTTCTGTAACTTTCTAGTTAAAAGGGTTTTAAAAAGCATTAAAATAACCTTTTTTCCTTGATTGCATTGTAATATGCACTGTCTGTCATGAGCTAACAAATGGATATTCAATTTCATATTTATACTGCCTAATTATATATTTATATGAATTTAAAATTTGAATGAAAAAAAACCATCAGATGTTAAACGTTAAAGAAAACGAACCTGCAATTGTATATATATATAAATATATACAGGCCTATATATGTATATATATATAGGCCTATTATATAGGCCTATATATATATATATATATATATATATATATATATATATATATATGTACATATATTTATATATATATTTCTCTCGATAATTGTAACTTACAAAATTGTATATTGTTATTTCAGTGACTTCCCCTGCTATTGTTCTGGAATCACTTGAACCTAATCCAGGAGCTGAAATTGTTTCAAACCACTCAACGTGGCGAATGAAATTTGATAAAGAGGTATGGGGGCGGGGGGGGGGGGCAAGGACCCCGTCAGAGAGAGCTGCTTCCCCCTCCCCACCCCCGTTGGGGAGAAAAATCACAGTTCGTCAGGGAGAAAAAAATTACATGTATTTTTTACATATTTAGTAGACTCTAAAATTGATTATGTAAGCCTTTGAGATCCCTACATTGTCAAAATTTTCGGAAGCTTCGCCCCCTGGACCACTTTTGAAACCTTTTAATCAAGGCTCGACCACGCCCACTTTGCTTTCGTCGGGGAAGTCTGAC